TTTGTTTTCAAGCATGTTAAATTTCCCATACGGAGTAATTTGTATTTTATAGTGTTGTTTCGTATTTTGTTACATTAACATTTTTTCAAGCGAAAAGTATGAAAATGAAGAGGCGGGGTTAGAGGACGATAGCATTACAAGTATTTTGGTTTGATGCAGAAAAAGAAGGAAATAATGACGTGATAGTGAACAGGATGGAGGAAGAGAATTTGGAGAGGGCTCCCATTATACATGCCCTAAAAGACGACTAAAGTTGACTTAAGCCATTCGTGAAGTTTTTCAATAGCAACATAAATTTTATGTTCAATTCATATCGTCCCACGAAAAGGTTTCACAATAATTAAGATCAACACGATTATTGGAAAAGTAAAATTTTGTTGTTAAAAATAGTACAAATGAGAAAGAGAAAATTTGAGACAAAAATAATTTATCATAAATGGAAAGTGAACTTTTTTTAAATTGAAAAAAAAATCTTTTTATGAAATGAATGGAATGCACTGCTAAGATAACTACTCCCTCCGTCCGGAAATATTATTCTCACTTTCCTTTTTGGCCCGTCCGAAAATATTCTTCCCATTTCTTTTTTTAGTATACTTTTTAAGGATAAATTTCAATAATACCCTTCTATCTTGTCACTAATCTACTTTTTTATTGCTTTTTTAACAAGAACAAGAGATTTAAAAGTTTATAATATATGCATTTTTGGAAATTTGACTTTTTTTTACTATTCCTTAATAAGCATGCCAAATCAACATGGGAAGAATGTTCCCGGACGGAGGGAGTACTTGGTATTTATTTTAATTATTTTTTATTACCAGTACATACTTATGGGAAAAAGTCAAGCATTTTTATTCTTTTCTTTGAATTTATTCTTTGATTCATTTATTATCCCAGTAATCAGGTCTTTCAAATTTATCGGACAAAATAAGTTGAGATACGCATTCCGTCTAATGGTCTTCTCTATTACCATTAAGAGAAGATAAGAATGGGCCAGGTCAAGAATCTTGTTGTTTCCACGACTGGCCATTATTAATATGTTCATATTCTACTATTTGTTAATATAAATCGTGGATTTGGGTCTTGGAAGCAACCTTAATGATGATTAATGAGTGTAAGAATTTTTTTACCTCTTAATCTCTCGAGTCATATATGTTCCACATTTTTTTTCGAAATAAGATTTCAAACTTTTAAATAAAATAATTGTTTATATCAACGTGAAATTAAAATATAATATAGATCTTCTCATACCTAGGGCTGGGCAAAAAAACCGAACCAGCATGATACTATACCGGACCGTAATGGTACTGAACCATTTATAGTGTTTTTAAACGGGATTGATTTTTTTATCACGAACCGAAACCAAACCGATATCAAACGGGATGGGACCGTGATACAAATATTTAAAATTGATTACCACGGACCGAACCGTTCAAAGCTATATAAGGAGTATCTCAAATAATTATTTGTCTACTTTATCTTACCGTATATGGAGTACTTTGTATGGTATTATTTGTTTTTAAAATTCTTTCGTCAATATTGTTGAAATTATATTTATTACTACTATTACCATTATTTTTTTAGAGTTATTAATAGTCTGATATTGTATGAATTGAAAAAAAATCTATTTTAAAAAATTAATCTCGTCATCTTTTATTTTTTATATTTATGATCCTTTTAAATTCAAAATCAATACTTCTATTTAACAAAGATGTGCTTTTATATACAAAATTATGCTTTTATTTTACGAGTAATATTTTTTTAGTGATGCTTGTTCATTTTTTTGGCACGATTTGAACATGGTTATGGTATTGTACCGTTCCGTTTCGAAACAGAATGGTACCGAATGGTTTTAGGGTTCATACCGTACCGATACCGAATCGTTTAAATAAGAGCGGTCTGTGATAGGTTCCAATGATATCAATACAATGACCGTCACGGACCGCGCCCACCTCTACTCATATCTTTTCTAAACTGACATGTAGATTCTTTATCTTTTTGCAAAATCTGTAATTCTTTTATGGTGTTTATATACTAATGTTTATAAATGAGTGTGGATCCAAAAACCACATAAGAATTTGTCATGTAAATAATAATATTAATACAATTTGATAATAATTGATCTTATCAAATAATGAAACTCCAAGGAGTATATATAGAGATTACATGTAGAATCTTAAAGAAGGTAGAAGAAAAAGTAAATATCATTAGGATTATAATTTATCCCTATTATCCCCACAAGCTGATCAACATTTACGAGGGACAGTTGGAGCGGTTTTGTGAGCTATGATAGCCGCTAGAAGTAGAGAAGCAGATCTCCGTTGCATGACGAACAAGCTTGAGAGTACGTTTGCTGATTTTTTTTCTTCAGGGAAAATTATTAACGATTGTAGCGAGGGCGAAGAGTTTCTTTTTTTTCTCCCTGTTGGTCTTCTTTTTGCTTTCCATAATGCTCTCGAACTCTAGAAGAAACACAAAGAAATGCACTTTTTTTGTTCTTCGATCATGCACATGATTTTTTTGGACAGAAAGAGAGAGGGATAATGGACGACGGCTGTTAGGCACGCTCGTAACTTTTTGAGAGAAAGATATGGATAAGAGACGGTGGGAGTTAGACACATTCAACATGATTGAATTGGTGGCGGCTGGTAGACACGCACACAAGTTTTCAATTAATCCTAATAAATGCTAGTAACATCTTAATTAAGGTGTCGAATTAGGTTTGATTGCTCCTTTATTGCTAAAATTCTTCCATCAAATGAGCCTTTGGTTCTTCGATTTATAGACTTAAGTAGGAGTAGTTATATATTGATTTGGTAGAGATAGACAAATAAACAAAAACATGTTTTAATGTACAAGTCACAAGCTAGTGGTTCATTCATTCATGCACAATAATAGAAGAAAAAGAACATTCTAAGTTTGTTGAAACAAGTAGGCCTTGTGAGTGTTTGGAATGAAACTATTAAAGGAAAAAAAACAGAAATAAAACAGGAACAGATAAGTATAGTACTAATGCCGTAGTGCACACGCCTTGGATTATACGACAGCTCATGCCTTCTTTACAAGTCTTGTTTGCATTTATGAAACTTAGGAATTGAAGTGTACTTTTTATTCGAAAATATTTGATCACAAAGTCAACTAAATTTCGGGATGTACCGAAATGGTTAATAGTGGGTTTGGGTTGGACGGAGGTGGGAATTAAGGCGATAGGAACCTTCAACCACGGCCAGTGTTAACCCGATTGGCCCCGATCAAGAACAAGAAACTTAGTTTCATTTGGATTCTTGGATTCCCAACCTTAAATTTGAATTCTTTTCAAATTACAAGGGGTGTATTAATTTGTAATTGAGCTTTGTTAGGAATTACAAGAAGTTTGATCAAATTTAAATTCAATTTTTTATGATAACCAAACATACAATTTGGGTTAAATTCAAATTTAGATTAAACCTCAAATCTAAGTTTCTAACTAGACCAGATTTTAGAATATTTAACTTTTATAGTGGAACATGATGTTAATACTTGAGTTTTAAGTATGGTAAATGGAGTCTAAATAGAGTTGGCATATCGGTTGTTCCAATCCGGTTTGAATTCAATCACTTCGGGTTCACATAAGTTCGAGTTCGGGTTGAGAACTGCCTATTCAAATCATGATTCAATGTCATCAGGTTCGAGTCGATCTAGCGGACTGTAATCTTTATTTTAAATTTTTTAAAGTTCATATTTTGCATTTCGTATTGAATAAAATAAAATATCAAAAACATATTCCTTAAATTTATTAGATTATTTCATTTTGAATTTTAAATAATTTTTAGACATTTAAATCAATTTTAAAAATTAAAAATATTATATATGCACACATTTGTTTTTTAAAAGGTAATTATGTGATATCATTATAATTTTGTCTGAAAATATAAATTTATAAACTAAAAACGAGTAGTAAAAGAAATATATTTATAGTCTTTTTTTATAAATTAGATTTCATATTAAAATATATATAATTTTAAAAAACTCATACATTAGTTGGTCGGTCGGTTACTCGGGTTTGACCCATTTTTAGAGGGTCATTTCAAGTTCGGCCACCTTCGAGTACGGTTAACTACATCTTTGTTCAAAATCTAATATTTTCAGGTCGGGCCTCGAATAAAAAGCAAATCAAGTTATTTTTGTCTGGTCTAAATCTAAATATGGGAGATCTCACCCTCTATAACCTTTCCACTTAAAGAGTATATTAAAAAACAAAGTGCTACTAAAATGAAACAACTTGGTGGTCTTCAAATCAAGAAGAGGTTAAAGTGGTTAAACGCGCTTGGCCTTAGAACAATGTTCAAAAGAACATGAATGCGTGGTTTTTGAACTCAGTTGCTGGGCTCAATTTCGTTCGCAGGGCCGGTCCCGAAAATTTTATGGCTCGAAACGAGACCAAAAAAAGAGCCCATGATCCCGACCAATTAAATTATACCCTGTAGCAAGTATAAACTTCTATTGTGAATCAGTGATTTAATATTCTTTTTTTATAAACAGTATGCCACAGATAGTTTCAAAAATCAAACAAAAAAATAATCAATGAATCATTAATTGGTAGCATATTACCAATCATTAATTTACCGGTTTTTTCTAAACAATATGCTAATACGGAGTGAACTGAATCAACAAAGGTTTTGAATTCAAATCGTGTAGTTGAAATCAATATGAGAATATATTTGTTTATGCGTGAATTAGGAGCAAGAAATTCACTAGATCAAGTGGTTCAACTTCAAGCTATCTCCCACCTAAAGGAGTAAGGGTTTGAACCTCATCTTTCACCATTTCAGTTTTTCAGAAATAGAATAAACCAAATATGGGCTAGATAATTTAAGCAGAAGATTGGGTCCCTAAAATGAATGGGTCCGGTTCGGTAGGGCTGCTCGGCCCACCCCTAGGCCGTCATTGCTGGTTCATGTAGCAAATGAACCATCAATGGAACCAGTTCAATTAGATGCCAGTGAGATTTGCATTGTGACGTTTAGATCAACAAAACTTTAATACCTATTGGCTTAGAAAACTTGTGATTATAGACCTAAAAAGATGTTTTGTACTCTGGCACGAACGATCCCGAAACCACCATAAAGTTTTTACAAATAGCTCCAAAATGAGTTCGGTAAAAGAGAAATATATGTACATAAACTGTAATATATATAATACATCATGGCAACACACTATTGTACATTCCAACAACAAAAATGCAAAACAACCATCACGTTTGACACCAAATATTTCACAGACATGTATAGATTATGATTGTCTCTGTGTCACAGTGACAATGACTGTATTGTGTGAAACACTTCGGTATTGGTATCAAACTCTTGATGTCAAACCTGGTATGATCCTAGCATGACTCTTCCAACAATTCAATTCATTATATTAACAAGCAAGAAAGAAAGAAAGAAAGGAAAAATCAGTTCCTCTTTGGTCTATGGCTCTTTCTGGATCCCCCCTCACAAGGAGCTTCAAATCCAATATTCTCAACAGCACCCACAGTCTTAAACATTCGCCTCTTGCTCACCTCCTCCATCAATGACCGGTGCAGCAACTGGCTCCGCATGTCTACCAGCGACCGGTTCCTCGTTAGCCTCCTCTTGTCTTTCTTCGCCTCAACCCCACCGCTGCATTGTCTTTGTGGGGCGGAACTTTCCCCCGGGCAGAATCTGGTTTGGCTCTGGTGCTCACCAAAAGTGCAGCTCAGAGTTTGATTGTTCTCATCTCCTGATAAGTAGTTCAAGTTTGAATAGTTTCCCGAGTGCGAAGAGCTCTGCGAGCTTGTATCTTCATCTACAAAAAATTCATCAACAATTGTCAAGGAACCAACTCTACCAAAAGCTCAATCTATCTTGTGGTTGTAGGCCCAAGAAGAATTGTATACTCTATCACGCCCCCTCACGTGCATGTGAAAGATTACAACAACAACAACAACCCAGTAGAATCCCACGAACATAAGGTCTGGGGAGGGTGTGTGTATGCATACCTTACCCCTACTTGAAAGTAGAGAGGATGTTTCCAAGAGACCCTCAATTCGAGCAACACACAACCACATATCATAAATTTAAAAAATGCAGATCAAATTATGGGTAAGAAAAGTGCAGGTAGAAAAACATGGTCTTATACTGGTTAATCGATTGGGTTCAATAAAGAAAGAGAAAGATATAATATACCTTGAAACCATAGGTTGTGGCTTGTCCCGTCCATATCTTGGGAAGTGATCAAACCAGAGACTGAACCGTGGGATGATGCGTTAGAGGAGACTGACCAGAAGGGGTTGGGGTAGTCATTGTCGTCGTCTTTGTAATTGAGCACATGGTGACGATTATCGGACGACTCGTAATGATTATTCCATTTCCTCCATTGAGGCACTAAGCCACTAATCTCCCCATCAATCATATTTGCAATTTCAGAAGGCTTCCAATCTGTAAATTCTAGTTCCTTCACCATCTCGTTTGCAACTTCGGTTGGTGTATCACTTAAAATGTCGAATGGGAAAAACACGTTCCTAACTGCACCTGCAATGTCACAGCATTTAAATTTCATAGCCATGGCAGATAAGCTAAGCAGAGCTAATAAAGCTAAATATACACATTTATATATGCATACCTTCTTTATCGGCAATCTGGACCTTAAGAATGATGGTATCATCCACTGGATTCAACTTCCCAGTGATAGTCATGCTGGTTGAAGGGACATCGTCGTTCAAGTTCAAGTCCTCCATTCCAATGGTGTCATTCAAGAAAGGCTTTTGACACGCAGCCATAGCCAATGACATCCCCTTAAAATCAGGAGAGGCAAGAAAGGGGTCGAGGATCAGTTCCTTAGCTGACAATCTTTTAGACACGGGTTCCAAACATTTCGCAATGAACTGTTGTGCTTCTAAGTCTTCAACCTTGTAAAACGCCCTCGGCTTTTTACCCTATAGATGGATGTTATCATATGTAAAATGCTATATCTATCTTGGCAACTTTCTAATAGAAATTTTGCAACATATATATTGCATTTGGTATGAAAATCTGCTTTACCGAGGTCACTTTCTTGTAAATTTGAGCAGGGTTATTGCATTCGCTGTATGGATACTCGCCCGTGAGCATCTCTAGTATACACAAGCCAAAGGAGTATACATCCACCAGCTCATTGTAATTCTCCTCATATAGCTCTGGTGCCATGAACTCAGGCGTTCCTATTACCCCACACACGCAATGTGAAATTTTTATCAACATAAGGTTAGCATTTCAGATGATTTTTTAATGATGAAGATTAACTATGAAAATGTTAATGCTAAAAGCTATTGTTGTATAAAATATTCAAAGCACTAAAGCTAAATGCTAAAGCTATAATGCGAAACGGAGCCATAGTGAAACTAACAATTAAGATATGAAGTAGATAGGGCAGTACCAATAACGCTATGTGCCGTGGAAGAACCATGAAGAATTGCTGCAAGGCCAAGATCCCCAATCTTGACTTGTCCAAGATGGCCGTTGACAAATATATTGTCACACTTGAGGTCTCTATGGATCACTGGAGGATCATGGCCGTGCAAGAAAACAAGGCCCATGAGTATTTGGCGCGCCCAAATTTTAACGGCTCCTATCTCAACTTGCTTATACTTCTTCCTGTATCTGCACCACCCCCATCATAAGACACCCTATGCATGACTTCACTCTTGATCTAGGAACCAACCGCTTATTGAAATTCATCAGTTAAATCAGCTAAAAAGTGGGGGGAAAGGTAATCAAAACATAGATTCACCCAATACTAACACTTAAAATTAGGAGGTTTCTTGTTCCACCATCTAATCAAACAAAAAAACCAACACTTTTTGCATGATTCATCACATATAGAACTCAAACTCACTACCCACTTCATCAATGATAATAATAAAACGAAAACAAATGAGACATATTCCTAGATTTATCAAAACACCAAAGAGAGGAGAACTGATTCACAAGCCAATCGATTGGAACCAATCCCAAAATCAATCAAGAAAAAGGCAGGCCAGGGAAGTAAAATTACCCTCTGAGGGAACCGGAAGTGAACATCTCAGTGATAAAATTGAAGGTCTTCTTCCCCACATCAATCCAAGAAGTGTAGAACTTGATGATGGAGTCATGGTTGAGAGTGCTCAAAAGATGGACCTCAGAGTAGAGCCTGTGCAAATCATTGGGTGAATGGAGCAGGTCATTGAGCTTGATTTGGCTCCATGCCACTTCCATCCCAACCACCATATCTATTGCCTTGTACACCTTTTTCATTGCCCCTCTCCCCAACATCTCATCCAACTGCCAAACCCCATCCAACAAAACTCATGCAAATATATACACATAACAAGAAAGTAGAAACCCACATACCCACACACAAAAAAAAACAATCTTTTTCAAAGAACCAACCCAACCAAAACCCAAAAACGAACTTACACGAGCATAACGACCCGTGGGATCATATTCAACATATGATCCATAGCCATCGTCGCCTTCATCATCCCTGTACATAATGCCCGCACCCACTGTTTTATTGCGCTTTCTATATTTAATTTTTTTTCCACAGGAAAAAAAAGAAAGAAAGACGAGGCTGTATCTGATATAGGCTTTATTGTGCTTTTCCGGGCTGGAGACGGCACAATTTGTTCTTGAAGAGCTACCACTGCTCGTGAGACGTAATTATTGGCTGCCACTATCACCCACTGCACGTTTCGGGTCTGATTTTGATTTGATTGGGTGGGAAAGATGAAGAAAAAAACGACCCGAAATGCGTGATTGTGTTTGTATTCCATTTGTCAGAGATGGAATCATTAATGGGACGAAATGAAATGGAAGTGTGGGGTTGGTATGCGGCCCTTAATCCGTGTGTGTACAAACAAAGTCTACAAGAATATATTATGAGTCCTCCTTTTTGGATATGAGTCATGCGTGCGTGAGGTATATTGTTTTGGATATAGGATATGCGGCCTTGTTACTTGTTAGGTTGCTCTATGCCATCGGATCAATTGGATCGGTTCTAATTTTCAAGCAGGCTTAGTGTATTTTGATTTGGTTGATGTTTCGATTTATGTATTTCATGTTGGATTTGTTAGGCAACTGTTTTAACACTTGATTTTAGCGTTTTGAAATGATATCTAACTGTAGTGTTATTACGGAATAGAGTAATTGAGTAATCAAAGTAAACAGAAAACGTAAAGACACACAGATTTAAACGTGGTTCACCAATGTTGTGTTGGCTACGTCCACGGGTAAGAACGGAGGTGGATTTTACTATGATAGAAGTTCCAGAGTACAAAGTTCTTGTGCCATATCTTTATATAAATAGACATACAAAACGGGCTAGGCCCAATACTAATCTGCGTATCGGCAACACAATACTGATTCAAGGCATATTAACATGTAGCGTTTAAGTTTTATATTTTTAAAGTTAATTTATATCATTAGAAAACTATTCAAAATGCTAATTGAAAATGTTGTTTTCAAATAAGGTCCCAATATCTGAGTTTGGTTTAGGTTAAGATTAGCTTTGGCAAGGTACAGTTTGATGTGCTTTAGTTCGAGATAAATTTGGATATGATAGAATTCGGGTGAAGTTTAGTGGGCTTGATTTGGATTCGGAGGGGGGGGGGTAAGATTTCTTTTGAATTCAATTCAATTGGAGATAGTTATGTGTAATGTGTTGAGTCATGTTAAAATTTTAATACGCTTCATCACGTTTAAATACTAATCTTTAATATCGTTTATGATGTTAATTTGAAAGATTTATTTTCAAAATGTGATATTTTAAAGCAAAAATTAGTACGGAGTATTTCATTCAAAACAAATCAACTAAAATACTACATAAGAGTATTTTGTTAGAGATTTTTGCAATAAATGACATATAAATTCCTTAATAATAATTCATATTTTCATATTTAAATATACAGAGTATGTGTTTTAAAAGAGGTTTTTCAATTTGCTTATTGATTTTACTTGAAGATATCATTTTAAAGAGACTATTCGAACCACAAAAATATTTATCTGATTTTACGTTTTTTACTATTTTGGCAATTTTATATTTGATAAAGGTGTTTTATTGGGTAGTTGAAAGATACATCATCTTTTAAAAGTATATATAGTTGGAATCATTTTGTACGAACGTTAAAACTACATCACGATTTTTATCATTGCACGTACATACACTAAGCTGAACCAGAAGTGAAAGAACCAGGCAATGACCAGAAAGATTCACTTGAGAAGGTGCAGACTGCAGAGTGGACAAAACGAGAGCGAGTAACAACATGGAAGATGGAGGTCAAAACATCTCACAATATGACAACACGTCATTATTTATTATATAAAGGACTTCTATAGGGAAAAAATATATTTGATGAATTATTTATTTTTACACACGTATTATTTGAAAATTTTTCTGGAAAAAATATTTGTTTACTTATAAAATTACTCCGTATTTATAAAAATATTTTGATATACCACTCAACAATAAGTCAAGTAACATATGCGGAGTAATTTTATTGTTTAGTTATACTCCCTCCGTCCCGAAATAGATTACAATATTCTCTAACATTTTTGCCCCAAAAAGGATTACAAAGTCAATAACTTTATAGTGATTTGACTCTTTTATCCTTCCTTTTTTTTCTGCCAGCCACTATTCACACTATTTGGGGGGATTTGGGGGGTAATTTGGGGAAAAAAAATTTGATTTGACTCTTTCTTAATTTCAACTAAAAGGAAATATTGTAATCTAAAATGAGACGGAGGGAGCATGTGATTTTAAACACATTTGTGACGCGGAATAGAAGTCACAAACTAAATGATGCTTGCACAGTGGAGGTTCCAAGGAAATTTGCTTGGATCATTTTCTGTAAAGGACTTATTTCTTGCTACCTTTTAAATTGAAATTTTGATAATATAAATGTTTTCAAAATTTTCAGAGTATATAATTTTAGTATGTATTTTTTAAGTGTTTTTGAAAAGTTTTTTGTTATTCCAAACCTATAATTAAATTTCCCACACTCAAAGCTTTTACAAGATTACATTAATGCATTAAAAAATTTATCTAAAATTGATTGAAAAAATAAAATTAGAGTTAGATAAACAAAACAAAAAGGGGGCAACGGCTAATTAAAAAAAGGGATGGGAGAGAGAGGGGACGGCGTTTGGGAGCGGGAGCGGTCGACCGGCTATTGCTGTGCAGTGCCGCCGAAGACGGCGACCATCAGAGTGGCGTTCCACGTCCGGTACCTAGCGGCGAAGTAGCGGCAGCGTCCCACGGCGAAGCATTCTTCTTCGGCCTTCCACTGTGACAAGCAGCAAGGCCCGGGCGGCGGAATCTGGGCAAAAAAGTGTTAGTGGGGATTCCGACTCCAAGCGAATCAAGACGCTCCATTTTGTTTCTTTTTTCTATTTTTCTACCTAGAGGTGAGTGGGATGTTAGTTGTTGAAACGTAAATTTTGATGTTCTTGAGTAGAAATCTTCATTGTGACATTCTTTAGCTGAAACCTAAAATTTGATTTTTTTTTCTTGCTGATTTTTGAAGGATTTATATTTTTGAATTATCTATGAAACCTTGAAGTTCCTGGTGATTTTTGAGGAATTGATATTCCGGGTTTATTACTTATTTTTTATTTGAGAATAAAGAATGTTTGACAATTTCCCATAGTAAAGTTGTCAAAGTTTTCTTATCAATTCGTTCAGATTTTGGTTAGAGTACGAAGTGGTTCTTACAATATTTTTGGGATTAATAGTTTCAACTAATAAAACCTTATGTGAATGTTCGCCAAATGTTACAATGCTTGGAACATTGAAATCATTTAGGACTTAGGGTTCTTCCATGATAAGATGGTTATTATGACCAATGGGTCATGGGTGGAATGTGTTGACTGTCGAAGGTTATTTAGGATGCGTGCTCGCCCAACATGCTTGATTGGTGAACGGAGACGGGGAAACCTACGTTACACCAATGGGCAACAATGGGATTTTTCCTAGCCACGTAGGAGGGATTTCCATTGTACGGGATTCCCATAGTATTAGGACTTTGTTCCACTACGGAGGCCTAATATGTTCAATGCTAAGTGAGAAACAATCTAGGTTATTTCTCGACTCTATGGTTATTGTTTTGAACCTTTTCTCTCCGTTGAGGCCAAGGGCCTGGTTTAAACTGTTTTTTTTTTAAGTTATGCTTTATAAACAAGTCGAGGCAGAATGCTTAAGTTTAATTGAAGTTATAATTGGTTTTGTTTGGGTGATAGCCTGTTGGCATATGATTATGAGCTGTCATTTCATATGTTGTTAGTGCTGTACTGGGACTTGCAACACTGGAGATTTGTAAACTTGTGTGTAACTTCACTATGATGTGATCTTTCCTTTTCATTCCAAACCATAGGTACTCAAGTTTTTGTTGTGTGCCTTCGTGATCAACCCTTGCTGAACCCACTCGTCGATCTTTCATTGATGAGATCCTTTCCGTACTTCAGATATCATGTTGAATGGTAAAAATGTCCTGACTGAACATTGTTTTTGGACCTGGGTGCCCTTGTGGTTCTAATTGTGGCAAATTGTTTTTTTTTAAAAGTCTTTCACTTGAGCCGTTTACTTCATTTATGGTTTCTGTTTAGGGTTACCTGTTATGTCTTTTGGTTTGCCTTGTATGGTGCATAATGGACTACTTAAGGGCGGTCCTTATCAAACACTAAATATTGTGTATGAGGGAGCATCGGGTGGTTCTTCCTCAAAGATTGCAATGTTATTCTAATTTGAACTTCATGTTTTGCTAGTTACGCAATTCAAATTTTTAGTTTTGACTTGTATGATGTGAAATGATAAATTGTTTTATAAACACAGCTGATTTGATATCCAGAAGAAAACATGGAATCCTCTACAAGTTTGATAGATAAAATTTATAGCTCCTTTTCTGGTGGGTTACATTTTCTACAGCCAATATCATCACTAAGGATAAGTGAAGTTGATCTAGTAAGTTACATAATCATTCGAATGCTTCTATTGTGACAAAAGCTTATTATATATTCTTATAGTTCTTTTCCATTTATCTTTGAAAATATCAGGTGAAAGGAGTGTTGCACATATTACAGGGTTTCTCTAGTTCTTTATTTTATTGGGATGATACAAGAGATCAATTTTGCCCTATAAAGGGAATATTTGTTACCCACCTATCGCAGACAAGTCTTCATCTCATCCTCAATCAATTTGCTTATGCTGCAACATGTTTAAAACTAGTTGAAATCATCGTCAATAAGGTCGAGAAATCTGTGAGAGCTCCTCCACTCACACTGAGGGCATTTGTATCCTCTATCTCTACCTGGCTTAGAGTATGAATCTGTTAGCGTTTAAACTCTTTCAGTTTTAATGTTCCTTGCTCATTCTCCTTTCTTTCTTTCTTTCTTTCTTTTTTCTTCTTATTTTGAAGTCCATGGCCTGATTTTGAAACATAAACATTTCTTGAATTTGCTCGCATTTGGACTATTTTGATTTTACCTTCATTGATCATATTCCTTTCTTTTTTCTTTTCCCATTTTGAAATCCATGCTCTTATATTTAAACACAAACATTTCTTTAATCTGATCGTGCAGATGCTACGTGATGATGCTCTAGAAGAGGAGAGTAAAATAAACAACTCAAACATTGGAACTTCTCCAACTCT